AATAATGGGCTAAAGGGACTAGTCGAACTTCCTCCGCAGACAGAGGTCGCAGCCTGACAAACACTTGGATCCGTGACGAAGGCTCTTCAGAGGCCATCTTGGTGCATTCCATCAAGGATGCAGATTATGTGCTTCTACATAACCTAATTTCTATGAAAACATGCCTTCTAGGATCAAAGGAGGATTGGTGTTCTTCAGGACAGCCCGTTCTACCGGGATCAGCCACAGACAGATCAAACGCAACAGCACACTGGAGAGGAAGGAAGGATCTTTCCTTCTCATGACAACTGGTATTGGATTTTTGCATTTGCATGTGCACAAGTACACATTGTCTAGAGATACTTCAGAAGTCTAACGGCTTGTTAAGAAGGCCCGAGTTGGTTCAACACCGCCGCACGACGACGTGTGGCCACGGAGGTGACCCATGGTCACTCTTCCAGGTTTTCATCTCCCTCATATAGCTGCAGAGAAAATATCACATACGGAAGAAATATTCAGGATAGCATTCCGCGACTAATCCGTTCTGTTGACTCACGTATTGATTATTTTATGGTGCTGGCGTACTGGGACCACGGCGTATGGTTCCGCTAAAATGAGGTTACCCAAATGCGGAAGGGTCCATCATTTCTTGAATGCAAAATTGGCATTAACGTGCTCTCCTGAGCATCACTTATCATCACCGACAATCATTGCAATGCGCCGAACCCTAGCTGAAGGCGCCCTGTGTGTTCGGGCCAGAGATTAATCGCAATCTGCTCTCGGGTTACTCTTCAAAGCTACACAAAAACCTGAGCTCATGGAATAAACTTCAATGATGGGGACAAGCCTTATCAGATAGAGGAGCAGTTGATCGACTGGTTCCTACATGCAATGGTACTTCGAATGTGACAGGCTCGGCCTCTGTTGAGACGCCGCCTGCCCAAACAGCGGAGTAAATCGAGAAACTGCTCTTCTATCTCGATTGATTCAGCTTGTTCTATTTCATTGCTAATCATACCCAGCACGTATGAAGCCCGCAAGGCCCAAATTTTCATTCATCTACGATACCCTGCCTTCTGAAAAAGTCCTGCACCACTGGCTCACTGGCATATACAATCTAAGCCATCCGGTTGAGGCGGGATCTTCCTCGACGTTCGTTGACCATAACCAGGCGAATCATTCCTGGGGGAAAGCCCAAAGGTGTGTCGAACGGTAGTGCACGCTCACTATAAACCTTGACGCCAGGCGTATCATGGAGTGGCATAGAAACGCTTTAAGCGGAACGGCCAGTTGCTGTTACGTTGACTCCGTGGACACAAAGGCTAAACTGAAGAGGCCTGACAGTTGCACGGGCGGTTGAACAGTCCCCAAACGTTGAACAGTCCCCAAACGACTCATAACGCCAGGGCCTTGATGGACCTAAGGTAATGATCGTAAGATGAGGACCTCAAGGTATTATATTAATATCGCTTCCTCTGGTGCTCTCAAGCCCCTCTAATTTCCTCCACACAGCGAACGTACTCAAGGAGAAAATTCGGGGTTTATGCTCTACTGACCCCGTTCTAGGCTTAAACAGCAAGGCTTTACAGTTGCTGGTTGGAGCGTTCAAAACTCTGGAGTTACAATTCACATGTGTGGCTTCCCGCCCTCTCGGGGTGATTGACTGCAAGCAGAGTCTGTTGACCCAGCAGCACAAAACTAAAAGCAGCCGGGTGCTTAACCCTAGTTTTGGTGCATTGTTCGCAACTTCGAAAGGCATCTCAAAACGTTTGTTATCGCCTGACTCCCACCTACCTTGAGAAGGGCAATCCTTCAGTGCGCACATCAGGTTACGCATGCATATTGTTCACATTTGAGTTTGGCTTTTGGTTATAGTGCTTGGCCCTGATCTGCCGACGCAAGAAGCCAAACTATTATTATTACCCTCCCCCTGTACTTCTCAGCGTGTGCTTCATACTGCCAGCAGAATTGTTTCATTTCCCCTTTTCCTCGCTTACGCCCCTACTGTGGAGGCTGTGCTGTTTGCGAATCTAGCTTGGCCACTGGCACTGGCACCTCGACATAGCGTGGTACATAAATAGGTACGGGAATATCCACGTAAGTCGGTGAAAGACGTGGAGCGGCGAAGACCTGCGGATGATATGCGTATGAACCACAATGCTCAGTGGTCCTAGGTGGCTTGTCGTCTCCAGTTAGTGCCAGTAGCGGGGTATGATGAGAAATTCTTTGTGTCTAGCATTTGGAAACTGCCTGTTTATGATCGGATGGGGGGGTACTCTAAATTAAACCTGCGTACTGTCGTTGTGATCCGCTTGACCGGCACAGGACTTGAACAGATTAACTTCTGTGTATCCCCATTTCCAAACGGCAAAGTAACTCCTGCTCTCTGGTTATAGCACGACGCCCTCAGAGCATTCTCCCGGCTTTGTACTGGAGGTCCATGGCAGAGTGAGCGCTCCGCTGCGTTTTGCTGAGAAACAAGACGCAGCCAGACGAAATCCACAGCAGTGTATACAGTGAATAGGCCTAGTTTCCCTGCCCACAGATAACCAGTGAGACAAGGGTCGTGGCAAGTCACACTCTATCTTACCTCCTTCATCTCCTCGGCTGGTCGAAGCGAAAGCGCTGCATGAAAGTTTGTCGTCGGCAGCAGTGGAGGCCTCCACAGTAGCATGCGTGTTAAATTGGAGCAGTAGAAAATGCTTCAAACTTAATTGCATGCCCATTTGGGGGCGCGCTGCGCGCGGTTCCCTATAGACCGTGAATGGTCACTTCAAGCTAGCGACGGCAAAGCCAATCGCCTCGTGGAATTGTTAGACAACCATTCACTATATTATACCCAATGTTGGAAACTTTCCCAAAATAAAACGCAATCTGTTTCGGGCCATAAAGCGAATGAGGAGGGCACCGACAGACCACTCACGTGCGGTAGCAGCTCTACAGCAGCTGGACGTTGGGATCCACCAACTGTGGGGCTGCGAGACAAGCACTCAATTCCCGCTACAAAAAACGATATTCCATCCGAACTAATCACTGTCTGTTGATTCGTTGACTGTTTGGGACAACAAAGATCATACTGCTGCCGTTACTGTACTTGTCCCACTCCATATTCCGACTCGAGCAGGGTGCACGTCAACTCTCTCGCGCGCAGTTTCTTGGAAAATTTTCTTATTTGAGAATATTTGAGAGCTTACATCGACCTCCGCCTTCTCAGTGGCTCCATGGAGGGTGTAATCGCTCCTTAGGATGGCATCCAATATATATGTTTATCATAACTACCCACACTCACTATCGAATAGGCCGCGGCTGCAGCCCAATCTACGGATGAAACTGGCAAGCCTGCGGTGATGAAAATAAATATGGTTAATTTTAACTTTAACCCACTAGGATTATGTTCCACTACTCCGTGTATATTGGGGTGCTGTTCTGAAGTGTGCCCGCCATGCACTTCGCGTGCCCGTATCGGTTATGCTCTCTTTTGTTGCATGAATTATGTTCACTCGGGGAGCTGATAAAAATTCCCACAGTCCGGTTTGGATGGGCCGGCTCACTTTGGAACCTGTGCAGCTCCGCAAAGTGCATTCTTTTGCACCTGCTCGCACAGCATTGGGGCATTTTTAAGTTGCGATGCTAACGCTAGTGCATGTTGTTGTTGCCTGTGTCATCGGCTCTCCGCAGCACTATCGAGCACATGCCACATCAGTACCCGTAGCAGTAGAAGCGTGCCCAGTGCACTTACCACTTCCGTGAAACTGCAGCAGTCGCCGAAGATGCGGCAACGTGCGCAGTGCACGGAAATGCCTCAACCGTCTTTATTGCCAGAAAAAGATGGATGGAACCCCAGACCAGTCCGGGTTCTGTCAGCGCTTTCCCTTCGCGTTTGACAGTGCTGAAGAGTCCGCCTCCTTACCTACCCCGGGCGCGTACAGAAGGCGAGGGCACTGAACAAGAAACAAGAGTTATTTGCACCTCAGCAGTGTCTATGCATGTAAGGAAGTTCAAAAATGATGACTGTGGAATGGTGTCAACGAACAAAGCCGTATGGGCAAAGCAGCGAAAAACTACTTGAGGGACAGCTGCCTGCAAATATTGGCGGCAAGGACACCGTTGCGTATATATTTGCAGTACGATGAATCTAGGTACACTGCAAGGGCTTGGTGTAAGTGGAGTGCTAGAGGCTCACGAAAACCATGTGCCACGGGTTAATCCAGCTGGCATCGCTCAGCTTATAGCACGAAATCAGTTCATTGACCAAGTGCAAAACGAACTCCTTCAACACAGTACTGATTACTCTTTGTTCGGCGTGCAGTTGTTAGTGGCTGTGGGGAGAGCAGGTCTCATGTGTGTCAGTGTTATGCCCCATATATCGAGCAACAGCAAACTAGGTCCTGCGTGCTTCAGGGACAATGCTGGGCTTCCGTGTGTAATGTTTACGGTTAAGCGGGCCACGTTTGAGCATACTAAGTGATGCAGACGTATGATCATTTTGTCTCAGAGGTGGTCAGGGGAGACACCTTTAAATTAGTTTTGGGGAGTCAAATGGCAATGCTGGCCTCCGCATACCGTTTGTCAGGTAGGTTTAGTTTCCCAGTGGCGAGACACATAACACAGCTGGCGTTGGAAAGCCCCCCTCACACAACTTCAAGACTGGCTGGGCTGGAACAGTGTCCCAAATATTCCGGGATTCCCGAAAGTGAGGTCTACTCTAGAGAGGCTTAATTTAATAGCTTTCCTTTGTACGCACATGCTGCTTACTTGAGCCAGTTCGCCAGACGGTGCCAACGAGCACATTAAAAACATTTACGATACTTCGGTTGTTTGTTACACTGCAGCGCAAGCAGTTGCAACTACTTCTATCACACTGATATGAAGAGATGAAACTTCCAGAAGAAACAACTGCAGCGCATGACGTCTACTGCCATGCAAATAGTCTTCCAGAAGAAACAACTGCAGCGCATGACGTCTACTGCCATGCAAATAGTCAACTATCCGCCCCCCACTGACAATTCCAATGTTCGTTGTTATGTAGAGGGCCATGAACTGAGTGCGGCCGCACCCGACTTCATGGCGGCTGGAGAATATGTGTTACTATGTGAAATTGTAGCATTCGGTTCACTCTTTTGTAAATCGCTTCTCGAGACAGCTAGCCTTTGGCTCGCTGTTGAGGTTGCCTCTGTCTGTTCTGCTGTAAAATTTTCTGAAAGGAGCTGTTGTTGCTGGGTGCTTGGTACCATAGCCAGGGCTGACTTCGGCGCGGTTACGTGTGCATCTCCTGAAGTAGTCTTCTTGAGGAACAGAGAGACTGGCGGTTGCTTCTCGCCAGGAGTCGAAATAGCAGGACTTTGTTGGCAGGAACTGGAATCTTCCTTCCTCAAAACTCTTTCTGAGAAGGGAATGTCTACCTCAGCAACAGGTACGTTCTGCCCCTCGCCAGGCTCGTCGAGCTCACGAGGTGATCCTCCTCCACTATCCGCCGCAGCTGGCGCATGCTCTTTCACCTCCACAGATACTTGCCGTGGGCCAACTATCTGGCTTTCTTCTGCTGTTCCTCCGGCTGGCACCAACGTACCTACTTGTGCTTTGGGCCGATCGTGTACTCCAACAGGCCTGGAAGTAAACTTTGGCAAGTTCGAAGGTACGTGCGGGCCCTCTGCTTCAGCAAAAGAACGCATACTCTCGCTTGGGGAGTCAGTTTGCTGGTGTGTTTCCGCTTGTTCTTCTTGGGTGGCAGAGATTTCTACTGCGCTACTCGGTTGGCGATGAGCAAATCCCACCGAAGCAAGCCTGTGAAATTGCTTGGAGAGAGTATGTTGCTCCTTTAGCACCGTTTTTGTGCTATAGTCCCCCTTCAAGAGCAGTGTAGTAGGCGCTGTGTTCTTCGTATCTTTGCTGGAACCTCCCTTCAATGGCGGCTCCACCGGAGAATCAGTGTCTGCGACATCTTCCTTCTGCAAAGGCATCTGGGGACGAGAAACTTTCAAAGGCAGATCACGTCTAGAAATGGAAGAAACTCTTCTCATTGATTTAGCCACAGGGGACCCCTTTGCGTGCTTGACGGAATCGGCATGCCGCTGGCCGCCTTCTTGTCGGCTAACGGTTGCTGTAGGCGGTTTCACTGCCGAGAAACTCACTGTCTCTGCATTTTCCCGTCTCCCCTCGTCAGGCTGTTTACGTTCTTGCGCCAAGAGCTCTGGGGTTGCTTCAGCAGCGGGAGACTCCGTTGAAAGAGCCATCGCATTAGCTTGCCGGTGGTTGCCCGATGGTCTTCTGAGCGCTCCGGAAGCCAGTGGCACCGCATCGGGTCGTGCACTGTCTGTAGGCTTCATGTTAGTGTCCTTGGCTGAGTGTTCTGGTGATAGGGTTCTTGCCTTCATCTCCAGTTTGCCTACAGCCCCCGTGGCCTTTGGCTGTCGCCCCCGGTGAGCGCCTCTCTTTGGAAGGCTGGTTGGCTGTCTTTTCTTTAGAACTGCTTCCCTTCCACAGGAACCTTGCGAAGGTGACGCAGACGGCCGGCCACAACTCCTTGGAAGTTTCTCTTGAGATGCCCTGTTAGGGGAAAGTGTAGGATCTCGTAGCGATTGCTCCAACGAAGGACTGCGTGGTGCTTCCCCTTTGCCGACTCGACTTGTACTTCTGCTCTGTTCTTGTTTCTTACTCTCTAGTCCTTCTGGGGCCTCCTTAGCCTTGTCCCGTAGAACTCTCCCCCGAAAGTCAGTATCGACAACATCATCACCACCCGAACCTGACGCTCCATAAATTTCCTCTGCTAGGAGAGCCCCTTGGTCGACGAGAAACAGATAAACTGTGCGTAAAACAAGTAATGACTCTCGAAGCACACTAGTTGAGAGACGCAGTGCAGAATGGAAAAGGGCACCACCGCCGAAGGATATACGCCTGACTTACCACTGCTCCCCGGCCGCGCACAGTCCAACGCAGTATTGCCAGAGACGCTGATGGTGTTGATGTGATCCTTGCTCCTCGCTCGTTGTAGTATTAAACTCACAACACCAAGCGAAGCCTGAGTAGAATAGCATATCACTTCCAAACGCCCCTTCTAAATGTTGGTTGAGTTACAGCCGCTGCTCTGCACTCCCTTCGTACCATGTTTTGCCGCTTTTATGTTGCTAAATGAGAGTTTGCAGGAAGCCACTCAAGCCAGCAATATGCATAAGGACAATAAAAGACGGAGAAAACATGATACTTACATCTGCTGCGCATGCGATCATCAACAGAGTCCAGCCACTAGGAGACGACCTTGCCTCGACTTCTATGCAAGGATCTGCCAGCAAATAGTTCAAAAGCCGTTCTTGCTGCAGGAGCAGGCACAGTTGGGGCGTCGTGTAGATCTCCCCATATCCCCTGGCTCAAACAAAAACCACAAGAAATGCCTCAAATGCCAAGCCGTAGTAGTTTCAAAGGAGCCCTGAGCCAACCTTCATACAGCATCTTGGCCATCATTAGGAGCTCCGTGCCGCTGGGCTGCTCTAGCTGTCGCCCAAGGCCGTACGACGAGTTATACTACTTACGGCTGTCTGTAGGTGCAAATTGGAGTATTCCAGTAAGCCCTATAGTTGCGGAGAGTGTCCAGATCATCACCTGTGCATTACACAAAATCCAGTTGAGAAAACGAAGGGAGGAGGGAGTAAGGCACCTACTTGAACCGTTCCGGGGGGTGCAATTATACGTACAGATTGACTCTGTGTACAGTTCTACTCTTCCTCTGATCCTTCGGAAAACACTTCTAGACAGATATCATCACCACCGCTAGTGCGTGCGTCTAACCTGCTACGGCGTCGTATAACTCTTGCCTGGCTGGTTGCGCCTCTGCGAACCGACGGTATGGCGAACACGGAGTGACGTACAGATGCTTTGTCCGGGGTTCCTGCAAGAAGCAGAAGGGAAAGAACTTTCCAATTTCGCCGAAGCTTCGTTAGTAGCAACCGGCTTAAGCTGCTGGTCTCTGCGGGAGAGTGCAGGGGAAACTTTGACAGTTCTGAATAACACTTCTGCAAGACTGCAGCGTGTATATGCAAAAAGAATTCATGGCTTTAAAAAACGGGTTTCCAAGGCGTACTTCTAGGCTGTCCATCTTTACCCATCTTCACACAGGAAAAAACTTCAAGCATGGGTTGCAACTGCAAGATTCCCGTTACGGCCACAGCCAGAGGAAATCCCCCTTTTCTCGAAATCAACTAGCTACTTTGAACAAGCTTACAACCCAGCATGAAATGTTGTTGCCTTCCAGTTGCTTCACGCAGACCTGCACAGTGGACAGGGGTGTGGAAAAGGCAGCATCACACAAGCCCTGTGCGGGAAGCTGGGACCACGTGTGCTGGCAAGGCCATGAAGTTCCCGAAAAATGGACCAAGCAAGAATCATTTCGTGTGTATGTTCCTTATCATGGTTCAAACGGTTTAAAAATGCAGGTTGCACAGTGAAACCTTCTCCTATGTTCCTCGTGGTCAGTGCCGGTCCGTGCGCTCTGACGGCTGCACGCCGATCTCGCGCAGTAGCAAGGAACTACCAGACAAATTTAAACACTTCCTCAAGGCCAATTTTTTACAACGCATAGGTGTTTTGCCTCCACATTAGGGAAGTGCTGCATATTCCCTAACAAGACACCTCATCACTGCTCCGGCGGTCTCGAAATTGTTGGTTTTCAGTAGATCCGTACAGCTGAGGGAATTGGCGGCACCCATACAGCAAGTGGTAATGGCCGCCATCCTTTTACCCTATTTTGCAGGGCTGGTTGCGCGGCATTTGGCACTGCGTAACTCAGCGTGACGAGGAGGCTGCTTTATTGCTTTATTTGGCACGCGAAGCTTCTGGATATGCTACATGCCGGGGGATAAACCTTCCCCGAAACTGATGAGAAAAGCAATCAATTAGCAATGCGCTGGCCCTGCACGTTTCGAAGAAGAAAAAGCAGCAATGGAAACTGGAGGTGTGGCAAAAGGCATGCTTCCCCGTTGTGGTTGCGCGTGCAGACTGAAAGGAAGTCCCTCAACATGAGGGAACATGCAGAGGGCACTCCTTGTGAACATAGATTGACCACTGCTTGGACTGTCTAGTTTAGATATCTTTCATTATGTACTCAGAAAAAGAGGGCCTATCGTAAAAGTGCCTGTGCCCTGCCGTCTTACAAAGATTGTTAAAGTGGCATGCAAGATAGCTACTTCCGTCCGCAGCAAAAGAATGTTTAGAGAAGGCAGCAGACTTCCACGACGAGCCCAGCAGCTGGATAAGGGGCTGTGTCATTGAGGTGGTGCGTTGACTTGCAAATTGCCCTAGTGGCAGTACGATTGGAAAACACCAAAACTGGAAACTCCTCTCCAGTGTGGAGACTTTGACGAGAAAACAGACACAACAGAGGCCAAGGTGCAGTTACTCAGGCGCATCAATTATGTGACGGCCGTGCGCATCTGCTGTTGTGTGAACTACGCAGTATCATTGTCTTTCCCGTTGCAGTGATGGAACTGACCGAATGTGAATCTTGCCAACCTGATGCTGTTTGTCTTTGCGGAGCTGCGGTTGTAGTCTCCATTTGCCGCTTTGTGCAGAAAACTAGCTTGCACAATAGGGAAAGAACTACACGTTAGAATGCATTAGCACTGGTGGGGAAACGTTGTTCCTTGCAACACCACTAAATGCAAAAACAAAAGGATTTGTTTTTCACTATTTGCCCATAATTTCGAAAAGACCCCAGCAAACTTGGTTCCACATGTAAGCGTATTGTTGCAGCAATGCGCCTGCAGTGCCGTCCGACGCATTTTCCCTTGGACATCGCTGTAAAAACACCTGCAGGTAGAGAGAATACACCAGAATGATTGCACGCCTACTTCCAGATCTAATAATTATCTAATGAACAGTGAAGCCACTCATTCAAAATGCTTTCTCAGAATATCCAGTTGTCATTACCATCTTCTGGGGGTCTTCTTGCTATATGGGTAGATCAGGTGAGAGGTGATCAACATCTGCTGCATAATTAGAGTAGTAAACCAGAAAATAAAACAAATGAAGGTCCGGTGAATTGTTCTATACGAAAAAGGTGTGGAGTGTTATCTATTCCCCTAGGATCATTGTTATCCCGCACGTAGGACCTGCATGACTGCTTGTAGTAGGAAAGACATCAAGGGAATTCTAACAACAGGAGTGCTCTGGCAATGAAACGGATAGCTCATAGTATATCATACAGATCCCTTTAGCTGACAGGTTTGAATATGCTTCGACACTTCCTCAACGTAGGAGCCGTTGCGTGTGTTGTGCATCATGCAAGCTACGGCGACAGGATAAAATGGCAATGAACTCAAACTTTAGAGCAGGGGTTACAGTTTTCACCTGCATTGCTAGAAAAGGTTCCCTTCTTGGCCTTTACAGTTTCCTGCACACCTATAGCACGGGCTATGTTCGCAAGTCTGTCTGAAGTGGGCGGTTGAACCGATCTGGGGCATACTAGACAAACAGTAAGCAAGCAAAAGCCCTCCTGTTTTGTTTTGCATATGAGGCTGTCTTGCACCTGATGTGCAATACAGCACGTTGCAGCTCGTGGCTGTGCGCCGCCTCTCCCCCATATCCACGAGCTGGAGCCCCTGAGATCAGGGCGCCTGGAAATTGGGGATGGAGGTCTATTACATTCAATGAACTCTCATCCTAAGTATTTAGGCTCCAATGCAGCGCATAATATTCCTCGGGTAAGACCCGCATTGCAACGCCAACGAATGGTCGATTAATCACTATCACATCAGGTGCCCCTCAAGCTAGCTCCACCTAAATGCGACTAGTAAGGACTATACATGCGTTCATATCGGCAAATGCGTTAATGCTACCACTTTGACACGAGCACCACAGCACAAATGGGCACACCCTAGCTGCTGCGGCATTAATCATTGTCTGCTCCAGGCACCTTTAACCCTCGAACTGTCCACTTAAGAGGATGAGGAAGAGTTACTAAATCAGTCTGCCGTTATTCTGTCTTGGCATGCACAACCTGACAGGGTTCAAGTTGCTGCTTACTGGCCCCTCTGCTCCATTAGACGGCATTCGCTGCGTAGCTCGCTAGACGTGTGCCAAGCTCCGATCAGCTGGAAATATCTTAGCCACACATTCAAACGAAAAGTACAAAGAAAAAGCATAGGGCACGAATGAGTTTGTTAATTCTTGGTGCAAGAGGCATCCAGGTCCACTGGTTCACCTCAGCGGCCTTGGCTACTGCGCCCGCGGGCTTCTGTACGACCGTGAGCAGTTGGCACATTCCTAAACAAATTCACTCCTCGCAAAAGTAAGCCTAGACTTTGTGAAACTATTAATCTTGTGGCAAAAAGATTCAAGCAAAGCCCTGGGTAGCACTGGACTGTGGAGGTTTAGTAGTCAGATTGCGGGGGATTTCAAGTATCGGGAGTTTGCAGAAATTCCGTCGAGAGGTCCTTCATCTTTGCTTTTCCACTAATGCGGACAGCAAAGGGGCGAAAACTGAAGCAACTTGTCCTCTTGGTGTTCCGCTGTGAATAAAATATCCCGCCCACTTTGTGCAGCCACAGACGTTTCAGCAGTTCCTGCTCATTGATGAGGTTCTAACTGAAGTTCTTCTATTCGGGCAGTCTTGAGTTTGTCCAGACAAGCCCCCTCAAGATTGGGCTTTCCCCCCATTCACGCTGTGTAGTTGCGAGTCGTAGCGCGTGAACACGCGAAACTTGTAGCACCCTTGTGCTTCTTTTGGACCCCCTCAAGCCTCTCCGATTTGAGCGAATGCGAAGATGGCAACCTTCCACTTAGAGAAATCAGTAATTGCCAGTAAGTCTAACTACTCAGTTGGTTCCGTCCTCTTTCCACTTCCAGCGATGGTTCAAGTAGATTCCCCCCGGACTACACGGACTAGCGCCACTTGCGTGGGAAGCAGCATATTCAACTGGCAAGATTAAGTCGCGTTAGATTCGTCTATGCACTTATGGATAGTATGCAGCTTTCGGCAAGTGATACACTGGGTTTGTTTGCCTGAAGATTCCCATTCTTTTGATAGCTCGGGCCCTCGCGAACCAGTTACGTCGAAGAGAACAGCTTGAAAAGGTTGTTCTGTGCGGCATTCTCCTCTTATGCTTTGATCAGGTGGCAGCTTGGGAACGGTCAAATCGATGAAACGCTACTGGAACCAACCGGTGTCCGACATGGACGAAAAGTAAGAGCAGTTTCTGTACAGTGGTCCCTACGCATGCTTGCTCTGACCGTTTGAAATGGGTTGACTTGTCTGTGGCTGCATCATGCGGTGTTCTTTTGGTCTTCTCCTTCCTTTCCTGTATGGCATTTTTCAGATCGAATGCATCAAAATATACTTTACTGCAAATGGCCTTGATGCTGCAGAAGAAGAAAGTTGTCGAGTATCTCCTCCCACAGCAAGATCTTGACTTGAACACCAAAGCCACCGATGGTACCACAGCCTTGATGACCGCATGCGACCAGCAGGTATGAATCGACAACTCTATAAATTTTTGTCGGGCGTGTTCCAAGCCACGTAGAAGACTGTATGTGTTCGTTCTCATTTATGCCCCTACTAGCTGTGCAATGTGCATCAGGTCCCGTTAGACTGGGTACAGGCAATGCTGGAGCGAGGAGCAAGAAAGAGCATTAACGACGAGGACAACGATGGCCGAACTGCCTTGGATCGTTGCGAAAAAGGCTCCAAACGTACGTGCTGTGTCGCTTCACCTTGAGAGACTTGATTCTGTTGTCAACTTCACTAGTATCTGAGCGTGAGTTTGCCAGTGCTAGGTTGCCTCGGCATTCACGCGAACAACGTAGACAAATATGCCTGCTTGCTTGAAGGGTGTTGGTTGTCCTCTGCTGCGACGGCTGTGTCTCAGTGTATGATCTGCTAATCAAGTACGGCGCAACGCCGCGTCCTGAGAAGCCGCCAACGCCTCCCCCGGAGCCGGAGCAAGCGACCCCCGCACAGAAACCAGAAATGCCGGCCGAAACAGGAAATGCAAGCACGACTGTGAGTTGCTACTTTCTTAGTGGAAGGGCTGTCACCACCCAGCAACCATAACAGCAGGCTTTTCGTAGCATGGTGCATGCGGTCAGCATTGAAAGACACGACACCCTCTGCTATGCACTCAATCGGCGCTAGCCACGAACAAGTTTTGGATTCTGCCTGCTCCCAGTATGCCCATATTTAAGGCAACAGAACTTCAAAAAGTGGCTTTCCAATGTTGTGCGCCCACCTGTGCTCAGCCTGAAGTTATCGTAATGAATGACGATGCCCCTGGGCTGGTGAGAAACGTTTTTGCGACATCTAAAATGCCTATATATATATATATATATATATATA